CTTTTTTTTTTTTTTTTTTTGAGTCGCCTTTTAAAATCTCTGAAGATAATAACCCAAATCTTTAAAAGCAGGGAATAAAACCAAAACCACCCTATTATGCCGCCATCTTGGATGAAGGCAAGCGGCACCCTGCCCTCACCCAAGATGGCCGCCGCCCCTGTCGGGACCGGGGGCTGCCGGGACATCGGGGGTGTGTCGCTGGCGGCGTGAGGCGGCCGCGGCTCCGCCCCGGGCTATATGAGGCGGCGGCGGCGGCAGCAGGGAGGGTGGTAAGCGGCTGGTTGTGTCTGGGTGACATGGCTTTGCTCCGGGAGGACGCGCAGAACAAGGTGAGGGCGGCGGCCCGGTTCCGTCTGAGGCGGTTTGTGCGGCTGCGGCTGCGCTCGGCCCTATGCTGGCCCCGCGAGGTGTGAGGGGGCTCCCAGCCTTCTCCTGGCAGTATCGGAGCAGTGACTGGTTTTTATTTTTGCTCGTTTTGGGGTTTGTTTTTTAAATATTAGTTTTCTTAGTCTTAGTGCTCCTTGCTCCCCGTACCCAAGGCCCTCTGAGGGTAGGTGGTTAGCGTGAGTGCGAGGTGCTGCCCCTGAAGGAAGAGGCGCCCCGAGATAGGTGGAGGGTTGTGGAAAAAGAAGAAAAACCAGAGTGGGAAAGAGGAGAAGGGAAGGGCTCTGTAGCTGCCGTAAGGCAGTGCCGGCTGTGAGCAGAGCACCCAGTTTGTGGCGGGAGGGTGACGAGCGGGGCCTTGGAGCTGGGCCTGCCGCTGGGATGGAGGAGTGGGACCAGCTCGTCAGGACCCGTGGCTGGGCATTAGCAATGAAGTGCTGTAGGCACTTCTGCTAGAGGCGTTTAAACTTGATCTTCAATGAGTCGGCTGCCTTGTGTATCTGTAACCAGCCTTCCTGGTTGTATTAATTAGATGGTCACCTGTCACTTCAGCCATGATGCATCTGCTTTAGTTGTCGCATCAGTAGCTGACTTGGTTTTCCTTTCTCTGTAGTGGTGTTGAAGTTTTAAGTACCAAGGAGCCTTATGTTTTGTCTCTGAGGGAGCATGAGGTGTTACCCAATGTTGAGACTCAATCTCTCGGAGGAAATGAAAATTAAATGATAAAATAGGAACTTTGTCATTTAATGTGTATGTATGTAGACAGTGCTTGGAATTATTTCTCATACTGGATGAGCTGCTAGCTTAGCCTGCCTGGTTTAATAACTACCCCCAACACACCTTGAGTAAAAAGTGAGATACCTCTGTAACAGCCTATGCAGAGAGTGATGTCCATACTGTTACATCTGAATGTAGTTTTGCATTGTGACTATACTTAACTTGCTTGTAGGAAGATGTGTTTTAAGCTGTTAAGGTGGCTTGTGTCTTTCAGTATGTGTTTTCTCTAGCTTTTTGGAAGATGTATATTAGCTGACTTGAGGGCTAGAAATACGCATGCCATTAACTTTTTTAGATAACTTCCTTTCATCTTTTCTTGCATATGAATTTTTTTAAAACACCCTTGATCCTGTGGAACAGGCAAAAGTTTGTTGAACAAGTGTCTTTTAGTTACTTGCTTTGAGCTGTGACCTAGCCAGTGTCTTAACCTTTTTCTGCTGCATGTGAAACTATTAAAGTATCTGCTGTTTGAGAATACTGAGTGCAAGTCTTTATAGGCTTGCAGGACCTGCAGGTGATAGGTAAAATATCAACTGTCTTGCAGCAATTGGTAACTTCGAGTGTTTATGTGCCCTTTCTAACTTAACAGATGGGAATATTGGGGGGGGGGAGGGGAATATGTTCTGATGATGAGGGCTGGAGTAGCTGTAAACTCAATGGCCAAAGATTAACTAGCTTGTTTCAGGTAGTAGGACTGTCTTGGGATTCCAGCAGCAGGGGGAAGATAGAAATACTCCTATCTTGTCTGTTTCTGTTTAGGTGAGGAAACAGCAACATGGAACTGGTGTGTGGCCAGTAGATAAAACCTAGGACTGTAAAGGAATCTTCATTAGGTATTAACCTTGAATAGGAATCATTGGTAAGTATAAACTAAAAACTGACCCTGAGATAGTGAAGCAGGAGAGGATCAGGGTATGTAGGAAAAGGAAGGGAGGGTAGGATGAGGGTGATTGGAAGTGCAGTGGGAAATATTGTGTAATGTATCATGGGAAGGAAAAGGCCCTTCAGAAAGTGAAGTGAGTAGTGGGAGCGCCAAGCTAAGCTTGTGAAAATACTCTGGTATTTCTTGATGTCAATGACTTGATAGTATTGTAAAGGCTCCAGTCTGCAGTTAAACTGTTCTACAGCAAAATACTGAGAGTGACTATTGTAGCCACACTTTCAGAATGATACATCATAGCCTAGGATTTGCTGTTATCACTCCCAACAGTGGTTATCAGAGCTGGACAACTTCTGCTATGTATTCTGGAAAGAATGAGGGTGCATTAGATCTTGCTTATGATTAGCAAGAAAACTGCTTCTGTGTGCTACTGGGCCCAGAGCAGCTAGGGAGATGAACTGCTAGCAGGGTGAAGGCTACTGCATAAGGATAATGCATTGTCAAGGACATAAAGCCTCCATGAAGATGGCCCAGCAGTTTGGGCTGATGACTTGGTTTCAAATCCATGGGAGGTGAAGAGGGCATGGTGAGGCTGTATTGCTGAGACTCCTGACCACCAGCTCCAGCCTTGCTGCAGGAGATCAGCAGGACATTCTTGTATATGCTGACTATGAGTTCAAGGCTTGCTTTTGTTGCACAATTTCCATTTTAGCTGGGCATGCTTCATGTTACAGATGGCATATGGGCTAAAAGTGCTTAGCCATAGGCTGTGCTCTGCAGGCAGACTGCTGCATCAGGGTGGATTTGGCCTGCACTGCCAAAGCTATTGCTTGACCTTTTGAGCTGGGAGCGACTTTCGGTCGGAATATGGGATCCTTGAAGGTTGATAGTGTCCTTCCCTCTATAAGAAGGTGTGTGACCGCTTGGTTTCTGCAGAGAGGGATGCAGAGATCCCTCTGACAGGAGAGCTAAGTGATCAGGCCAGCTTATTGCACAGCCAGTGGCAACAGGTGCTCTGGCTATAGAGGCTGCCTTCTGCATACTTGGCAAGCACTGCACTTGGTGAGAAATACCATTTCAGTGCAACTAAATTGAGCTGTTATTCCCTCTGTCTTTTAAGCAAAATAATTAAACCATTGCATCACTGGAGTTCTACAGTCTGAAGTCACAAATTTGGGAAGGCATTTTCTGTAGCATAAGTAGCAACATGAAAACTAGTTCAATTTTCCTGTTTATATGTAACTCAGACTACTTCAGGACTGTTTCAGCTGAATGTCAGAGCTAATAGCAAGTCTGTCATAAAGGCTGCAAAATCAAGGCTTCACATCTACTGCATTGGATATTTACTGCTGTAGGCATGCAGTCTACTTTCAGACATTTTAAATATCTTAATTAAAGGGGAACTTAAGCTACTTGTGCTGAATATGATTGAAATGTAGTTCCAGCAACTAACACCACTAATATCTGCTGTAAATCTGCTGGTTAACCCCTGGGTGTCAGAACAAGGCCCTCTGGAATTGATCACTCTGTATAAACTGCCAGAAAACATGATCTCTAAGTGCTCTCCAGAGAGCACTAAAACTGGTTTAATTAGCAAGACTACTCTGTAAAAAGTAATGGGTTCTGGGTAGTGGCAGATGTAATTACTATGGAAGTCTTGTTTGTGGTTCTTGCTTGAATGACAGCAGGGAGGTGATCAGTAAGAGAAGAGGTATTTTTATAAGGAAGCTGACAATAAGCGGAAAGTTCTGACATGTAAACCCTTGTGGAAGGGCTCCTTGCTCCTTCTGGGAGCCCAGCTATGTGGAAAACCCCTGGATTGATCTGACTTTGAGAACAAATGCGGATTCTTTCGCTAGCAATCGGATGTTGTACACAGTTGCTTGCACTGGCAGATTCTTTTGTTAGAATGCAGAAGTAACATCGAGTCATCTAGAACTAATGCTAAAACTGCAAAGGGTGTAACTTTAAAAGCAGCAGTGAAGGCCACTCAACAGAACTAAGCAGCTTCAGTGGCTGAGGGCATTTCCTTACACTGGTTGCCTGCAAGCGTGAAGATGTTTTGCACTGGGTGAGGCCTGATCAGAAACTTATGTCTGTCAAGCTGAAGCCTGGGTAACTAGTGGTCATCACTGGATTGTACTTAAATGATTCAACTTCAGGTTTTTTAACATCTCTAAGCAATAGAAAAAAGCAAGTGCTGTCAAACTCTACCTGGATTGGTTGCAGTAATGCTCTCTGCTGTCTCTTCTCTTGGTCTTCCAGATTAATTGATTATCATAGCATTCTAATTGATGCCATAATATCTATTTTTAGTCTTCTGGTCCCAATGCCTAGAAACAATCAATAATGACTGTGTGTTATTGTGGAGGGCTCTGCTTGATGTCTTGTTCTAATTTCCAGGTCAGAGTTGTGGTGGATGGTATCTTTACTGAACAGGGAGAAGTTTTTCTTGAATCTTCAAGCCCTGGGGATCCCAATACAAGGAAGGCATCAAAGAAGCTGTAACAGTTGCTGTAGTCATTGCAAACCAGAAGCATCTAAGCTGTTTCTGAGAAAGGGAAATGAGAGGTGAAAGTGGGCCACTGCTGGGTTTGGATGGATGTTTCAGTTTGCAGCCCAACCCAGCTGTTTCCCACTGTGCTGCTCCAGGAGTCACCATCCTCTGTACTTGAGTCATGTGCTGCTGCTGAGCTTGGATTATATCCCCTTGAGGCTGTGGGGTGACAGACTGGTTTCTGGTAACTGGGATGGGGAAACTTCAGT